GGATTCACCCAAGTGAAGGGCCTTCAAGTCACCTCCAAGCTCCTTGGATCTTGCTTGTGATTTCCTTCTCCTTTTGTGCTCCTTTGGTCATTGAGGATGTGAGGAAAGGATCTCCAAAACACCAAAGGTTTGGTGTCTCTAAGTCTCCACACCAAGGGTGAGGTGTGAAGATGAAATTGATGACTTAGAGAAGAAAAGATTGCTAGATAAATCTCCTCTAAGTGGCCGGCCTCCTTGTTGAAAAAGAGAGAATAGGTTTCACCTCTTTTCTACAAGAAAAACCCTTATAAGAAAAATAGCTATAAAGTTGCTTTTATAACACTTTTCTTAGGTAAGTGGCAAACTTGCAATTAAGCAAACCTTCACCCTCTCCTCACCATGGCCGGCCTATTTGTTGTGATTGGGCTTATTGCCCATTTTGTTTTAGTTGTCATACAACTTAAACATAATGGGCCTTGTGGACCAAAACACTTTTGGGCCCCGAAACCCAAAACCAACTTAAAAGCCCAATACGAACCTTTCGTAAAATTAATTAACTAATTAATTAATCTTGACCATTCTTCAATTAAACCATTTAATTGCATATCCATTTCATTTAATTTCTTCACTTTCATCCTTACTCGGTGTACGATCCATTAGGTTCCATTTAGCGAGGTAGTGGGCGATTGTTACTCTTAACGATCGATTGTGAATTGAAACCACATTTCAATTCTCCCTTAAAATTAGTGTTTGCTAATCATCAGGGCTTCCACAAACCATGAGTGACACCTAGCAGCATGTCATGGTTACCCAAGCTAAGTAGAATTGGTTGGAGAACCTATCCAGTTACAACTACAATGCAATACGGTCATTCTCTAATACAAATACTCTTAATCACATTGTTTAAGTGATAGTTTGTTTCATGTCTACTATCCAATGTGATACTTCTCCATATGATTCTTTTGAATAAGATTTGGAACAAACTTCCTAAGTCATATTCATATGCTTTGGCCAAAGACTCTCGAATCACATCTTAGAGTATTCTCCTTCCACCATGGAAGGTTAGAGATCCCTTGTTGTGCATTCATATGCCTACATGACTAGATAGCTTGACCCCAACAATGCCGTGGACACTCCAATGGAATGCCTTTGACATGATCAAAGGTCAAGGACCTAACCATTAGACATCTATGATGCCTCAGGTCAAATGACTACTTTGCATATTGCAACTATCGAGTTCTTACATGACATGTATGTTCGAACTCTCTTTTGATCGTAGTTCAGTGTACTCGATTACTCTTTCGAGCACCTATGTGTTTGTCTTAGTGTCCAACACCAAATGACTTGAGACTAGTCACTCACACTTGAGTCGACATAACACATACTAACCTTAGCGGATTGTCAATGCCTAATTGGCAATCTTATGGCTAGGAACGTTTTAGGAATGAACATAAGAGAAAGGTCTCGATAATCTAACTTACTTAAATCACTTGTCTCTTAGATCAAATACATCCCTTGGATTCCCTTATTGCTTAAGCACATGATACAATAAATAGTGATTAACAATAAGCTTTGCCTTTCATTAAACATATAAAAGTTTAATACAATAAGTATTCCAAAAGCTATTACATCAAATGAGTGGCTTTGTGGGCATACTTCCAACAAACGATGCCACAACTAAATGGTCTTTAACTTCCCACTATCACGACCTTGAACTTGATGAACACGGCCCTGTGCAACATCATCACCATAGTACAACCCCTTTCTCTTACTACCACGCCCAATGATTGCCTACGTTTGGATATCTTGAAGTAAACAGAAAGACGGAAACATTTGCACAACATAGTCTAATTGCTCGGTAACCTGCCCCACAGATAACAAATGGCTAGAGAGTAGGAGTGAGTGCAATTATACCCGCCCCTGTAACCGGGGCAACACCTCTATTAGCTGTGATAATACTAGGTGGTGGTGTTGTTGTTGAGTTAAATAAAGTACGATCATAAGTCATATGATTAGTGGCTCCGGAGTCAATAATCCAACCTATATCAAGATCAACATATGCAATCAAAGTTGTGCCGGAGTTACCTTGATCATCGGATTGCCCTTGAGAAGCAATCAAATTCAATAGAGATAGTTGTGGGCTCGGATTGTCTGGGTCCGGGTTCCACTCTTGATGAGTCTTCGCTGGTGGGCTAGGCGGGCCCATGCCCAAGTTGCTGCCGACATCTTCAATTGCTTGCTACCCATTTAGATTTTAGGCTCCAGGTTCACATGCTTGCAACCCAATTGGGTTATGGATTCCAGATAGACCTTGATGTCCAAATCCTGTGGGGTTCATAATTAGCCAGCCCGTGCTTCTTTTTGCTGGAGATTGGAACCAACGTTTGGTTGTCAGCCATGGAACCAATCTTTGCTTTAGATTTCTAGTTTTTGGTTTTTCCAATAGGTGGTGTCTCTTGCTTCGAGACACACGGTTTGGTAGTTTTGGTTTATATGTTTTTTGGGGGGGTTGTAACGGGTTTGGTGGTCTCTTGTTTTGAGACCTGGGTTTGGGGTTTTAACAGAGGTCTCTTGTTTCGAGACTTCTGAGCTTGGTTTCAATGGTTGTTACACAGCCAACGAAGAGAAGCACTGAAAACGGTAGTGAACGGGGATAAGATTTAGAGAAAGAGACAGGCCGAAACCTGCTCTAATGCCAACATAAAAGTGTTTAGGGTTTGAATTGTGTTATGTTATTCTTATCCTTCGAGGAGGCTAAATATAAGATACAACTTGTAATACAAGTAATATTAAAAGAATTATAACCAAACTAGGAAACAAAATTATATTCCTAATCTAATTTGGGCTCACACCAACACAGGTTTCTCACATCTTTTCAGAAAATGAAGAAGCACGTGGCGCTTGTGCTCCTCCATTGGATTCGAATAAAATGGTAAGGCCCGAAGGAGACCAGCTGGGGCTTGTAGGCCTTCATGCTAATATCTGTGATGCAGGCTGGCAGTCTGTATATCAACCCCTGCTCCAATGCTCCTCCTCTGTCGAAACATCCTGCATCTGATAGAGCTCTTTGTTAGCTTGAATAATCCATTTCTTGTCTGCCATCGCGATTGGCTGTTCCGCAGGCTGCAGACAACTGAATTTGTTCTGTTCCCTTATATATGCGGTCTCAAAAATCAGAATCAATATCTCAGGTGTTATTGTGTACAATGTTTCCAATCTTTTGATTCTTGCTTTACAAGCAAGATATTCACTCCGACAAGCTAGAGTGATTAGGAAGAAAGTGAGACATTTATCCGTCTTAAAACATACCAGCCAACTGCAGTGTGATTCGTTTCCTCTCCAGAAGACGGTTTCTATTCGGTTTAATTACAGATTCACACACTTTTCCTTCTTAGGCTGCTGGCTTGCTATTTGCTCTAAAAGCTACTTGGTATGTGGCTTATTGTTAACATTGACCTCTAAACTTCCAACCTTGAATATATGACCTATCACACGTATTATAATTTGAGTGAAACATCGTTAAGAAAAAATAGTATCACTTGATGAAGAGCTAGTTGGTATGTAACATGTTGATAATATATCAAATTTCCCCGAACACTGAATTTCAACTATGAATTTCAAAATAGAAGCATAATATCTAACACAAGTGTATAATTTGAGGACGTACCTTATGGGATGACCCCATTTATTGTCATAGATTATATGTAACATTGTAAACATCGACATTTACAGATCAACTAAATCTGTGCCTAAACAATGACTTGTTTGATGGTACCTCGGCAGAGTTTCTGTCACTGCTTCCAACTTCCATTGCCGCCCCTTCAAATCTCAATTGCTGTGCTTCCCATCTTAATCAGTACCCTGAAAATCTGCTTAATTTTGCATTATATAAGTGGGACAAGATGACTCCAAGTCTCCATGTCACTTTCTATGGGATGCACCACTCCCCTCCTTTCCCTTCTCTTTTTGTTAGAAACAGTTAGATACCCAACACATTGGACACCAAGGTTTGAAATTTGGAAGCGGATGTAACCACACCTTCTCATCCGTAGCTTCTTCCATTTCGAGCAATTTGAAAAGATAAAAATTTAGCATATGTAAGCTCGACCAGTTAGTGAGGACATTACCTTCATTTTTGCAGTCAAGTTCAAACTCCTCTTCGTAGATTAGATTAGTTTAGAGTAACCCAAAGTACAAAACAAAATTGTTCTATTCGGATACAACTAGCCACATATGATCACATAGTAAGTAGTTATGTGTTGAATACTCTTGCAACTTCAAAAGGGAGAACATCAAATGTAATGTAACGACTAATTTTGTGTTATACTCTCACATAAGCGAGAACATCTCTTTGTGAATCTTGTGATAATAAAAACCATCACATAATGAGTACCGTAGGCAAATTCCTCTAAACAGAACATTTATATTCCTTCCAAATCTCGAGCTGTCTTACTATATGTACTCCTTTTTTTATTTACTAAAGTCGTAAGAGATCATCTTGAAGGGATCAAATAATTTTGAACCAGCAGAGACCACCTTATCCAACAATTTCTATTTATGTCTAAAGAAAATACTTTCCAGATTTCAAAGTACGAGCAATTCCTCGTGGCCTCATGCTTGTGGACGAAAACACACCGACCCATCTGTCTCTTGCCACACAGACCAATAATTTTGAGACGTCCGGAGTCAGTGAACCCATAGATCTGGGCGTTCCTGGAAAAGAGAGATCTGAACTTTCGATTTGTATAAGACGGTCAGTGAGATAAAACTATGATAGTCGCAAAATTTAAAATAAATGGTTCGAATTTCTAAATCTTCCGACAATAGACACGGATCTTGTTGCTGGGGAATCAATCACGGCCACTGTAAAATATTCTAATAGAACCATGAGAGAAAGAAAAAACTGTGTGCTCACATGAATCCACGTTACGTGGATCACCTTAATTAGATCTTATAATTATTTAATAATCCGCCCATATTAAAGAGAACACAGAAGCAATATATTATTACAAAGATTTATTATAATTTAATAGAACTTTATAATAACAACTGAATTAACGATAATAACACTCTCACACGGATACTCAGTCCACATGCTAATGGACAATACATTCAATACGCGTGAATCGATATTAAAAACAATGGAATACGCAATAACACTAAGCACGTGTCATCTCCTTCCCCAATCAATTGGTGCACTCGTTAACGAGACAAAGCGGTTATAATCTTAATGTGACGATCACATCGTCACGTGATGCGCGGTATCGACATTATCATAGTTCGGTCGGTTTGTAACTTTATACGTCTCTGTCCCTCTGGCACTCTGGTGGCATAGTAGGGTATCGGGCTCGGTCAGTGCAGTAGTTGTAGATGGTGTATTTCTGGCGGACCCACCTCAGCCTCCTCCATTGCTGAGCATCAAGGTCTTGGTACTCCCTCTGGTCCCACCATCTCTTACCCTGTGTGTCACAGAACTTGGCATTGACGGAGGCCTCGCAGCCGTCGATGTGGAAACCCCGGTACGTGGCGATGAACGGGGCCTTAGACCAATCGGTTTTTTCCAGCCCACCCCTGGTGGCCCAGTCGTCTGCGTTCCACAAGCTGGAGTAGAGCTTCATGGGCTGGTTAAATGGGAATTTCACACCCAAATCTTTGCAGTTTTTGAACACCCTGATTGGTACGTCGTCCACGAGGAATCTGATTTTGCATGACATGGCGGGACACGTCAGCCACATACGAATTTTGCCCAAAAAGGTCAAACACGTTAAAATCGTTGTATTTATATCCAAAACATGTATGAAAAAAGTAAAAGAAAAGTTAAGGAAAAAGTGGAGATCCCCCCTCAATAATTTGGGGACCAAAGTTCAACGTTTGTCTGTTGAAAAATTGCACGAGTTTTGGACCTTTTGGTCAACATAATCCTGAAAACCGGAATAAGATTCTCCCTGGATCCTCTTTATGGAGAGTTCGGAGTCCGTTCATTATGTAGTTAAAAATTATTTTAAATTTTAAATTTTACATTGAATATAAATAATACGTAACGAAAATTGATCGTACGATAAACAAACAAAATTGATTGAATTTCTAGATCTCCTTGAAAAAGATCCGGAGATTATCCTTGTCCCTAAAAATCCACATTTGGTCAAATTTTGTCGGAAACTAAATTAAGAATTGAAAAGCTTTGATTTACTAGGGTTTTGCTATAATTTGTTTTATTTTTTCTCGGTTGGAAATTTTGAACTCCATGAGTTTGGTGCAAATGTAATGATGGTGAAAGGAGTCTATAATTTATTAACTTTACAGTACCCGTCACGTGATCGTAATTACACAATGAATAATCCAAGAGATGTAATGATTTCTGTTTAACATTTTTTCAAACTGCACTATTCACTCGGGTTTAAATTGAATAAATTAAAAGAAAATATGTATATATAACGGATAAAGTGAGAAAACTAGAGGGTTAAGATCATTGCACTTGTTAATTTCCACACAAAACAACTTTGTTCTAATGTTTTGAGGGTCACAAGGATTAGAAATAGCTTAAATTAAACGAAATTTTAACGAAAAATCATATCTTTACATTAAAAAGTTAATCCTAGTATTATTCAGTTTACCATTTATCTTATTTTTATTGTTAAAACTCAAAATTTTCGAATTTTTTTCATTAATTTTCTTAAATTAAAGTGATTTTCATCGTCATTTTTTTTCTCTTCGTCACGCTAAGAATAAAAATATATCAAGAGACAAAAAATGTTCATAAAAACAGAGGATTTCAGAAACAGGGTTGAAGAAGGGAGAAAGAACTTACACAATCTGGTAGAGATTCCAGAGGACAGCGTAGGAGTGGTAAGCTGCAGTGGGATCGAACCAGAGGAAAATCCTCTGCTCTCTATCCCCCTTTCCTCCTGTGAACACATTGGTCTGCAGAATGTAGGGCTGCCCTGTCCTGTTCCCCAAGAACTCGAAATCGATCTCGTCGTGCTCGTTGTTTTGCGAAGACAGCTGAATAACAAGCGTAAATCATCTGAGCTCAATGCCCATTTCAAAAGTATTTGGGAAACAAAAGGAATATTATTAAGCAAAAAATGAAAGAAATCGAGAAACATGCTCACATAGAATGCAGTAACAGTTCCAGCAGAGTCCCCAGGAACCATCTTAATTTGCATATGGAAGTGGCCGAACAAGTAATTTCCTTTCGATTGGAAGCCAGTACCTTCACAAAATTAAAACCAATTTTTAGTAAGCCTCCATAACATGAACTTTCAAGCGAGTGTTTACCGCTGTATTAAGTTATTATTAACTGGGTAACGCTTAAGCGTTACTAATAATATGTGCTTGTACTTGTTCCATTTTGTACCTGTGTACTTGTCGAGATGCAACTGGATCTCATTGCCTCCATTGAAGTACTTGATGTGATCAAATGCCCAAGTGGGCATGTAGTTTCTGCCGAACGGCACCGCAACCGGCGTTTTCAGGGGAGCTGCCATTGTTGCAGAGGCCAAACACAGCAAGCTAAAAAACACAGTCCATTGTTTGCAAGAAGCCATTTTCTCTGCACAAAAACAAAAGTTCCCAAAACACCAAATTAGCAAAAGCTTGAAACTTGAAAGAATTGAAAGGAGGGTTCTTCAAGATTCTAGAGCATTACCTCCAGCACAGAGAGAAAGAGGGAGACTTTGAGGTGTGATGAGGAAAAATGAGAGAGGGGCAGCCCTACTTGTAGTGTGGGGATTTTACCCGCATTTCATAATTCAAGAGTTCTCCGTTCAAAATTCTTAACCTGTGGAAAATTTAATTAATTAATTATTATTATATTGCTCGTAGCAGTACAGCTGTTCAATTATTTTTCTTTTGGCAGAGCTGATTGGACTTCAGGCGAAAGGTAAAAGGTTGTGTTTGAAATTAATTTTTAGGCCTAATTGGATTAAGGGTGATAAGATAGAGACCTGGATTGTCTGTCCTCCCTCAACCCATCTTCTTCATATCCTTTCTTATTTATGTGATCACAATTAAATCATTTTAACATTTTATATTCTCAATATTTTTTTATCTTATTATCTCTATAAAAAAAATTAATATAAAATGTTGACGTGACTTAACTATGACCACAGAATAGGAGGGGATGGAAAGTGTATGATTTGAGGAGGGCAGACAATCCAGGTCCGATAAGATAGTCCCAAGATAGTATATGTAGTAAAATTAGGATTAAACGCATTTTTAGGATTAGGTCTAAAATTGAAAATTTTCTCCACTCTTCCTTTTAGATGTGAGCCTTGACCAAATTTTCAATTTAGGATTAAATCTTAACAAACTTTACCATATGAGCCTAAATCTTAATTTTTTTATTGCAGAGACTATTTTTCGACTATTCTATTACCACCGCGACTCTTAATTCAATTAGCCTAATTTTTATTATTGTGGTTAAAATTTGACTCTTTCAAGATAATTTTTATGCATATTTACAACACAAGATGGTAAAACGTGTGTTATAATATAAACGACGGAACTGATATAACCCTTTTTCAAAAAAAGTGCAATAATACAATGATATGTGTTAATTTTTCTCACTCATTTTATTATTGTCACGGGCGCCACTTTGACACTAACAGTGTAACGTGTCAACAAGTTTCTCATTTTTGTAAGATATATTTTAATATTTATCCACTTATATTATGACACGTGTATAATCTTTCATCCCGACTAAAAAAAAAGCTTCTCTCTGGCTCTGTTTTTGTTATCTTTTGTGGCGAATCAGAAATGAGAGGCTGGCTAGTGGCCGATGGGCACTGCCATATACTGCAGTGGGTGGGTTGGGTATGGAGAAAAGTGAGCCTCCTTTAGCACTTTTTGTCTTTGTCATCTACTTGGAACACAGCTAGCTCTTTGCGTGAGATTGGCAACTGCTTGCCTCTATTGAAGCAATGAGTCGGTAAACAATAATGGGTTGTTAGAATTGGCAATTGTGGAATCAATATAAGACACCGACTAAATGTTTAGTGTAATGATGATGGCACGGTTTAATCATCTTATTAATTCACGTATTATCATATAAATAAAATGTATTTAGCAAAGAAAAGTTTTTCGGTTATGAAATATCTAGCAAGGGTTCTATTGGATCCTATGACCCTTCAAAGCTCAGAAAATATGGCTGAAAAGGTTCTTAGAGCAACTCCAACCCTCTATACGAGCTTGGTCCAAAGCCTAAAAAAATAGGCTGACACCCAAAAAAAAATCATCCACCCCTAAAAATAAAAATAGGTCAGCCCAAAGTCCAAGCCAGTTTGTAGGCCGGCCCAAAATGGATTGAGTGAGGAACTAGCCTATCTGATGTCATGTTAGCGTCAACATGATGTCATGTTAGCGTCAGCATGATGTCATGCTAGTGTCAGCGAAGCTTGATATTTTTTTTGCATCTGGTGCGTGGGTGTGGCCCGTCTTCGACCATTAGATTTCGAACGGCTAGTTTTCTGAACCGTTGGATTTCCAATGGTAAAAAAATTTGAAATTCAAACCCAACAACTAGTGACGTGGCAATATATGGGTCGTCCAATTCCTAGATCAACGGTCCAGGATTTTCGGCAAAAAAACATTAAAAAAAAAAGAATGTTAGAATTCTTACCGTTGGCCACATGTCCAATTTTGGGCTGCTGGATTTCAATCTTTTTCAAATCCAACGGTCTAGATTAATAAAAATTATTTTAAAATACAGAAAAAATAAAACAAAATATTTTTTTTTTATAAATACCTAACCATCATCTTCTACCTTACATCACATTTCAACATTTTTAACACTTTGAACCAAAGATTTCATATACTTTTGTGTGCAAAAAAGGGCTACTTGGACGGTCATCGAAAATTTTACATTGTGTGAATGATGGGTTCAAATTATTCATAACCTGTTTACGGGTAATGAGATGCAGTTGCGAGAACTTTGGAGTATAATTACTACAGCATTTTGCGAGAGGCTTGGAAAAGACACAAGAAGTAGTCAAGGTCTTCAAGGTCGTTGGAAAAAATTCAACAACTCGCTTACTTGTTGGAAAAACGCCATCTCTCAGGCTTCCACTAATATAAGTAGTGGCAGAAGTTTAGCAGATCAGGTGACAATATTTTTATTTATTTATTTGTATTCAACCCGCATCAATATTTTAATTTATTTATTTGTATTACACCCGCATTTTATATTATTGTCTTATCCCACATTATGGTACAATGCGAACAACAAAAACAAATCATTCAGGGAATGTTGGAATGCTGTCAAAGATTGTCCCAAATACAAACTTGTGCCAACTGGTCCAGAAGTTGTCATGAACGGCATCCCTTTACATTGTTAGCCAGAAGCAGACCTGGACCAACAGGAAGGCGACACATTTGAAGAGCGGGAAGGGCCGCCTGAAGTAGTGTCGGAGCCAACTCGTCGGTCCCTAAGGCCTCAAGGTAGAAATGCGGCAAAGAAAAAATGGAGTTCTTCCAAGAATGACTACACAAAATATATAGACGACCTTGCTCGCCAAGGTGAACTGACCATGGCGCAGGACGTGGCTATAGATGAGGTAAAAGTTACGACTATGCCAACAATCTTAGCAGTTACTGAGAGGCATGATGTGACTAATGAAATACAAAGAGAAGTACTTAATCGAGAAATTGAGATGCTTAGAGAAGAAATGATAGCTCAAGCAGATCATGACACTATGAACAAGCCTCTAGTAGGAATGTCTTCGAATTCTAAATATTTTTGGACATCGAAAAAAAAGGACGTGATGCGAATGAGGCATGCAAGAAACGAGGGAACAAGTGGAGGGGGTTCTAGCTACACATATCCTAGCAACGAAGATCCTAGCACCACATATCCTAGCTACTCTAACTTTATGTAATTTCTTATTTATTTCTAGTATTTTATGGAATTTCTTATTTATTTCTAGTACTTTATGTAATTTCTTATTTATTTCTAGTACCTTATGAAATTTCTTATTTATTTCTAGTACTTTATGTAATTTCTTATTTATTTCTAGTACCTTATGAAATTTCTTATTTATTTCTAGTACTTCATGTAATTTCTTATTTATTTCTAGTACTTTAAGTAATTTCTTATTTATTTCTAGTACTTTACGAAATTTCTTGTTTATTTCTAGTACTTTATGTAATTTCTTATTTATTTATAGTACTTTATTCAAACACACAAAATTACAAAAAAATTACAAAAACACACCAAATAAAACTTAAAAAAAAACACACCAAATAAACTAAGAACTTTATTCTTCGACCACAAGCTCCTTTTAAGTTTCTTCACCTTGTTTGAATCCCACCAAGTACTCAATTGACGGCTTAAGTGCATGTATGATTGTTGCATTGAAGTGTACCGTTCAATGATCAATTAATTGTACAGTCCATCCCTTTCCAATGGCTCGTGTTGCACGGGATCTTCAGTGCAATCATAAGCACAATATACACGTGTTCTGGAATTCGTCATTGTGTCCGGCTCGTATTCATCGATTGCATCATAATCATACTTATCTTCCACAATCATGTTATAGAGAATGATACACGTCATCATGATAGATCAAAGAGCCTCTACATCAAACAATCTGATAGCAACCCTGACAATCGCCCAACGAGCTTGCAAGATACCAAAACAACGTTCCACATCTTTCCTACACCCCTCTTGACATCTTCTGAAATGTTTTTCCTTTTCACTTTGTGGATATGGCACTGTTTTGACAAATGATGTCCACCTTAGGTAAATGTCGTCTGCTAGGTAGTATCCTCTGTCATATTTATGTTCATTGACCCAATATGTGACTTTGCGTGCTTTTCCTTGCAGCACCTCGTTGAATACTGGATATTGGGCAAGGACATTGAAGTCATTTTGAGCTCTTGGAACATCGAAAAAAGTATGCCAAATCCATGTATCAAATGACGTCACCGCTTTCAAAATGATATTTTTGGCTCATTTTATGTCGCCATAAGCTCATTGCCACGCACTTGGACAGTTTTTTCAGGTTCAGTGCATACGGTCGATGCTTACAATCATGCCAGAAAAACCTCGCATCTCACCCTTCTTCAAAAGCCTTGATAGGTCAATTGTCGTAGGTTTCCAGAGGTACTCATTGATGTAGAGGGCTTTAATTGCTGAGCAAAACCTCATCAGAGACTCTAGAACAGTTGATTTTCCTATCATCGCTATCTATCCACTTGATCTGCAGATGCTCCATATGCAAGCATCTATAAGGTATGAGTAATTTTTTGCTCAGGAATAAGACATAGAACATGAAAAACATCTTTTTTTGCACAAAGTATGGATCATGGTTACAAATAGCAATCATGTTTTTGTTGAACAAACTTCATTGCATTCTAAAACGACGTCTAAAAATATGATCAGGAATACACCGTTGGGGATAAAATAATCTTCCAATAGATCATTACCTTGTATTTCCCTCTTTCTATCCAAGTTTGCAGCACGTCTGGTTTGGAGATCTGACCCGCACCTTGCATGACACGACGGGGATGTAAGGCTCTCTGCCTTCTATGTTCATCATACTTTTCCTTTTCCATTACGAACGCCTCATCTCCACTGTCCTCAAGATTGAACAATTTTTCCTGTTCAGCCAACAATTTTTTCTGTTGCTCATCGATTTCATACAATTTCCTTGAAGAAGACATTGTAAGAACTCAAAATTTAAAAACGATGAAGAATGATTATGAGCTTGTTTGAGTTTGGTGTATGAATTAGGATGGATGTAGGGTTTATATGGACAA